CCGCTGCCAGAGCAGTCAAGTGTCACCTGAGCGTAGCTGAGAATCAGGCCTGTGATTGTTAAGCTCCCAGGGGCCTGGTCGCCTGGGTCCCATCACCCAGCTCAGTACAGGTGGGTGATACAGGAATGTCTCCCTGCCAGGACTGTACAGAGCGTCCCCTCTTGTGCTGCAGATATTGATGAGTGTCAGGGCCTGAGCCCGGCAGACTGCGGACCCCACGCAAACTGCACCAATGTGCCTGGGAGTTACTACTGCAGCTGAATCAATGGCTACGAGCCCAGCTCTGGGAAAGGCAACTTCACGCATGCAAGTGGGGACACCTGCCAGGCTGAGCTCTCCCCTGGCCCCCACCTCACCCTGCTCAGTCCCCTCCGCCCCCCATACACACACCGCTGGGCTCATTCCAGGCCTGGTGCTGTGCCAGAGGTTGCTGCCGGCTGCAGCAAAGGCACCGGATCTACTCACCGGGGCTGTGATCAGCCGTGACCCTGAACTGCTGCCCCAGCGCGTGGGGCCAGGATCTCCCCTGCCACGGTGTTTGGATTGGGAATAATCCCCTGGGTTCGAAGGAAGGCGCTGGGGAGACGGGTGGGGCCCTCGCTGTCTCCAGCACACAGAATCCAGGCTGCTAGTGCCCCTGAGCCTGGGAAGGGGCCTCGTGGATGGTCCACATACAGCACAGTGCGCTCAGCACAGTGCGCGTGTCTGGCAGGGCTGCTTTTCCCTTCCCCGCTGGAGCGGCTCATTCCAGACAATGGCCAACTCGCTCCCGTTCGCTGACCCAGTAACTGAACTCCTGGCTCTAACCAGCCCCGTCTCCCCAGAGCACGGGGCATGTCAGACGCCTGGATTATCCCCCAGCAGCGTCACCCCAGTGCCCAAGGTACAGCTCCAAGATGAGCCTGACCTAGCGCTTTCTCTCTCCTTGCAGACATTGACGAGTGCCGGCAAAACGCCACAATCTGTGAGCCCCACGGGAACTGCATCAACATGCCAGGGAGTTACATGTGTAAATGCAGTTGGGGATTTGGGAAGAGTCAAAAGGATCCGTCTCAGATCTGCACAGGTACAACGGGAGCTGGAAACAGTCGTGACAAAGGCATGATGTTTCTGGCTTGTCTGCAGTGTTGTTAATGTGTGGCGTTGCCTTAAAGCCCCACCTCCCAGAGTCCCGTGATTCCGCTTTTGGCTAAAATCAAAATTAGGGCCTGGTCCACATGGCGGAGGAAAAACTGCCAAACATTACGGTAGGGTGACCGACAGCTCCCAAACCAGAGTCAAACAAAACAAAGCCAAAATGGATTTTTTTAAAAAAAAATCTTGTGAATTTTAAACCAACCTCATGACTTGTTTGCAGCCTGGCTCACGGTTTGGGGCTTTTATTGATTGCTTGGCATTAGCGATGCTGTTAATGCACGGCCACTGAGCTTACCCAGGATCTCTGAAACTAACCCCATGCCTGGAGGGGGAAACTAAGCAGGTTGCCCTGAGGTCTCGCTCTTTCTCTGCGCCACACCCGGGCAAAGTGTCTGTTCTGACTCCCAGCCTGTCTTACACATTGGAAACTGAGCCCGGGGACTGAAGGTCGCCATTTCTCTTGCCATGGTGCTTAAATCCACCAAGGCAGGAGCGTAGGGCATTAGGGACGTCGTTAAAAGCTGCAGGATCCCCCCAAACACATCTCGGCTGCTGGAGCTAAGGGAGTAACTCTATTAGCTAGTCATTGTAGCAGGCTGTTTTATACCTACGGGAACCAGCCCCTAGTCCCGGAGTAACTTGCTCTCTCCTTGTTCCGTGGCTCTCGGCCTTCGCTAGAGGCTGGCACATACGAGCCCCTCACAGGCATGGCGTAGGCCTGTTACCTTCCAAAAGGTTTAATAATGGAGCAAAGTTGTGTTTCCTGCCAAAGAAACAAGGGATTTTTTCCAGCCCTGATGCATTCCCGGCTGTGAGCCAGGAGACACAAAGCTCCTCTTAGTTTGCTGATGTCCAGGCGAAGGGGATTTTAGCCACAAGGATTTCTGTGAGAAGCAAAAGCGTTATGAATTAATATCAGGGAGAGCTTAGCAGACAGAATGAGTGCGTCTATGCATGTACATGCCGGGTCTCTAGGTAGAAAACCCAGCTCCTTACACGGGGTGAGTGACCTCGCTGCACCACGGAGCCCCGACATCCCCCGTGTATCCCCCTTTGCCCGGCAGCTGGCGCGATCTGCGTTGGCAGCCTGGTGAGTGCACGGCCCTCCAGCATTTGGCTAGCTTCTGATGGCTCAGTGGATTCACCCCATGAGCCCCCAGGCCTGGGGGTCACAGCAGAGTCCGGGAATGGATGTTGTTGGGCCGCTGCTCACTGGAGAATGTTAGGAATAGGGGGATCCCCTGGATCCAGCTGGCTTCCAAACAACCCGTTTACCAGCCGTGCAGGGCCTGGCCGCATGTCGGGGTCTGCGAGCTTCTGCCATAGACCCCCATGAGCACCACCGGAGAGCAAAGAAACTAGTTTAAAGGGACACCACCCAATTCCCCTGCACTCCTCTGGGCGCAGCCCACACACTCTTCTCTTTGTGCTCCATGGGAGGGCCGGTGCTGGGTGTATCCCAAATGGCTGGGGTCTGTAACACTGAGTGTGGTGCCCCCTTCAGGCGACTAGCTCCAGTTCAGCGCCCCCTTCTCTTCCATTCATTAATGATCCAGAGGATGGCGTGGACTGCAAGTTTGCAGATGACACTAAACTGGGAGGAGTGGTAGATACGCTGGAGGGTAGGGATAGGATACAGAGGGACCTAGACAAATTAGAGAATTGGGCCAAAAGAAATCTGATGAGGTTCAACAAGGACAAGTGCAGAGTCCTGCACTTAGGACGGAAGAATCCCATGCACTGCTACAGACTAGAGACCGAATGGCTAGGCAGCAGGTCTGCAGAAAAGGACCTAGGGGTTACAGTGGACGAAAAGCTGGATATGAATCAGCAGTGTGCCCTTGTTGCCAAGAAGGCTAACGGCATTTTGGGCTGTATAAGTAGGGGCATTGCCAGCAGATCGAGGGACATCATCATTCCCCTCTGTTCGGCATTGGTGAGGCCTCATCTGGAGTACTGTGTCCAGTTTTGGGCCCCACATTACTAGAAGGATGTGGAAAAATTGGAAAGAGTCCAGCGGAGGGCAACAAAAATGATTAGGGGGCTGGAGCACATTTCTCATGAGGAGAGGCTGAGGGAACTGGGATTATTTCTTCTGTAGAATAGAAGAATGAGGGGGGATTGATAGCTGCTTTCAACTACCTCAAGGGGGATTCCAAAGAGGATGGATCTAGACTGTTCTCAATGGTGGCAGATGACAGAACACAGAGTAATGGTCTCAAGTTGCAGTGGGGGAGGTTTAGGTTGGATATTAGGAAAAATGTTTCCACTAGGTGGGTGGTGAAGCACTGGAATGGGTTACCTAGGGAGGTGCTGGAATCTCCTTCCTTAGAGGTGTTTAAGGTCAGGGTTGACAAAGCTCTGGCTGGGATGATTTAGTTGGGGATTGGTCCTGCTTTGAGCAGGGGGTTGGACTAGATGATCTCCTGAGGTCCCTCCCAACCCTGATAGTCTATGATTGCAGCTCCCGGAGTCGTGGCTGCCCCGGGTCTCGGCTGTCCGGCCAGTCACACTGTAATCCCCATTCTGCGGGAGCCTTTCAAAGTCAGACCCTTCTTTCCTATGCCTGTTAGTGAAACCCTTCCTCCGGGGCTCCTAGCCCCTCCTCGGGGCTTCCTAGCCCCTCCTTGGGGCTTCCTAGCCCCCCTTGCCTCAGGCCCCCACCACTGGGCCCAGCCCTCGGGCTGTATAGAAGCCCCAACTGTCCCCTCCCAGGCGAGCTTCCTTCTAGCTAGTGCCCTGCAGCCAGCCGAAGTCACTTCCCCTTTGCAGCTTAACAGGCTGATCGGGCCCCCCCTTAACCCTGCTCTCCTAGGGCTGGTGCAGGGAGGGGATCGCAGGGTCCTGGTCTGGAAAAGGTTGGGCCACCCAGTCTGGGGGGTGGGGCAGGGGTTGTGCCGCAGGGACTGGGACCCTGCAAATATGAGGGAAGAAAGGAGAATTGAAGGGAGGGGTTAGATGGAGCAGACATACCGACCGACAGACCACGCCCCCTGCAATCAGTGGAAGGTGCCTCCATGGTCATTCGCCCCATAATGTGCCCCCAGCCATGCAGTGTGCTATCCCTTCCCAGACATCGAGGAGTGCCGCAAGACCCCAGATATCTGTGGCCCCAAGGTCATGTGTATCAATACCTACGGGAGCTACTGGTGTGAGTGCCGGGCTGGCTACATCCCCTCCAACAGAAACACGACCCTGTGCGAAGGTGGGTCCTGCTGCTGGGGGCATGGAGGAGGCACCTGGGGGGCTGGGCAGGGCCTGGGGTTACACAGGCAGAGGTCTTGCCTGAGGGGGCAGCGAGCTGAGAACTGGTCTTTGACGGTGCGCCAGCCCCCCTGCCCCGCATGGCCGGGGTCCCTCTGGGTCTCAGCCCTGGCCAGGGAGGGCTCAGCCTCCAAGCTCTCACCTCCCCCCAGCCCAGCCTGTCCAGCCACTGGGGTGTTTCCGGTTGTATCAGAGCCACAGCCACCAGCGTGCCCAGGTCTGGCTCTGGGAGTGGAGCAGGGTCAGGCTGGGGAGGGATGAGCAGGGCTGCCAGGGACCGGGCATCTCTCTCCCCAGCAGTGCCTGTATTCCTGCTGCACGGGGCTGGATTCTCTGCCCTGGGAAGAGGGCAGTAGGTGGTGCAGTCTGTGCCTAGTTGTCACTAGAGACCACTGTGGGGCCAGGCTAGGGATGGATTCTCTCACCCTCCCTGCTCCCCAAACACACAACAAACCCACGCACAGCTGGGGGGAGAGGGTTGAGGGGAGATACGGCTGGGATGATTCCACAGCCCCGGTCCCACCCCACTGTGGTTCAGTCCCCCTAGGACGGGGAGGCGGGGGGGGGGACGGTTCCTTTCACAGAGACCAGCCTGTGGGCAGAGGATGCGGAGAAGAGGTTGGGCACGTGTGTGGGGCTGAGTGTATGTGTGTGTGTGGGGTCACTGCTCCCCCTGCTGGGAGAGGATCTATTACACCCATATCACTGACATGGGCTGGGTGTGTCCCTGCTGGGGGGAGTGAGGGGGGGCTGCTGCCGCCCCCTGCTGGAGAGAATGAGTCCTGCTCTGTGTGCCTGGCTCTG